CTTTCTATCTCTCTGTCTCTCTATCTTTCTGGCGAGCACACGCGCCCTGTAGCAAAAATCTCTCCAAAAAAAATCTTATTTTTAAAATTTTATTTATTCATTCATTTATTTTAATTTGACGAAAGAGAGAAAGTGAGAAAACAAGCCATCAGATCTGGGACTCGAACCGTGGTTGGCCATGTGGGAGTGTCCAGCACCTTAACCACCACGCCACCTGCTGGTCCTATCTCCCTTTTTTTTTTTAACTCCTGCTGCATAACAAGAGCAGGGGAAGGGGCTTGCCAGCCTGGGGAGGGGACAGATTAGGGAACGAATTATTACTTGGGCACAAGGGGAATGGCCAACAACCATGAGGAATCTGAGCAGACTTCCTGGAGGAAGTGACGTTTATTCTGGCTAAATCAAAGGGCCAGATGAGGGCAGAGGGGACACGGTGGACACCCGCCCGGGCCCTCGTGGCGCCCCCTGCTCCTCTGAGCACCCTAATGCATTTGCTGTGGTTTAGCGCTGCACTCGGCACGGCTGTCATCCCGTGCCATCTGGGAGACCGTCAGAGCTGCCACCCCCCATTGTAGGTGGTGACGTGGAGCCCAGAGGGAACGACCTGGCCAGGGCCAGCGTGTGGCCGGGACACACACCGGGTCCCCGACTCTCGTTCCCTGTTTCGTGGGTTAATCCTACGTCCCAGTTGCCCGTTCAGTTCCTCAGGGCAGGGGCCACCTCTGGCACCATCCGTCCAGGAACCGAGTCACAGAACACCCTCCCACTGGCCCGTCTGCCCGCCACCCATCTGGCCAGCTGTCATGGTGCTGTCTTTCCACCCCTCTGTGCACTGGCTCTTGCAGAGTCCAGCCGAGCTCCCTGCCAGCGCGTCACCCTAATGTCACACCCCGGCTGAGCCCAGGGCAGCCAGGCCCCCAGGAGGAGGAAGGAGCTCCGAGCTGGAGGGCTGCTCCCGGCCCCTGGTCTCTGCCCGCAGCGGGGCGGCTCCGGGCCCTGACTCAGCCCTGCTCTGGCCCTGGCTCTCGGGGAGGAAATGGAAAAGTCCTCCCGCCGCTGCCAGGCCTGCTGAGCCAGGGCAGGGAG